AAGACTCAATGCTATTGTGGGCTACTGGACTCTTTTAGAATATTTTGCTGAGTTTACACACCTATAATATTCAATAATGGAACTTAAAAAAAATGGGGTATAACTATGAATGTCCATTTTGTATCTGTGTATTTAAAGTGGTTGGGACAGATATAAGAATGATTTTTTCTAATGATGTTTGTAAATAGGATCACAAGTCTGCATCTTGTACAGCAATTAACGACTAAGAAGAATATATGCAGTGTATTATTTGTTGAAACTGTACTTTCGATTTGATTTGAAACTGTCTCCTTGCTATATGTTTATCAATAAAACTTTGAAAAGAAAGAAAAAAAAAAAAAAGAAACAGAATGACAGAGTGACACCATGATCTGAAAATAGCTCCTTTGAATATGGTAAGCTGAAATAACTAGTAAAAATGGTAATAGAGAAAACAAAGGAAAAGAGCATTCATGTGCATTCCTTTTTGAGTTGAATTCATTAAAATATTGTTCACTGTTAAAATTTTAAGTTTCTTCGATTCCTGAGGGATTCTCACTGGTTGAAACATGATTAACAGTATACCTTTTTCTTATGGATGAAAGTAAATACTACTGCTATGTTTTAATGATTCTTTTACATTCACTTCACAGGATTTTCTATGTCTTAGAAACAGAAGTAGACAGGTATACTGGAACCTATCATACAGCAATTTTAGCTTAAGAAAGATGCAGGTTTTTTCCATTTGCACCTGATCATTCCAAGCGAAATCTGGGTAGACGGTGAGTGTCACTCGGAGGACAGTCCGTGTGATGGGTTGAATGGATGCTTCCATCATAACAGAAGGAATCTGATGAACACATTGTTTGACCTTCAGTCCAATATTTACGTGATGCAAAATGTGACCTGGAAGGAACATTATGAAGAAGAAATGTGTCCAGGTAGACAAAAAAAAAAAAAAAAAAAAAATCAGAATACTTCGACTTGCAAATGGCATTTCAGAGAAGGTGACTGTATTACTTGTTTTATTATTTGCTATGTAGAACAGCTGACATTCTTGACCTAGCATGTTTGAATATTTTGTAATAGTTAACCTGAATTAACAATTCATGGCTCTGAAATGCACTACCAAGCTTCTTTCAAGAACCTAGAGTTCGTAAAATTACCGAGACTGGATAGTGTTTAACTATTATATACAGATCTACTTGTTTCCACAGCAGTTTTGACAAAGTATAGAAATATTTAGTATTTTGTTATGTCATTAATTTTTTCAGGCTCCATTTCAGAGCTACATTATTTTAATAGGAAATGTCTGTATAATTTAGTTCAACTCACCCATCCTAACCCATTTCCAGAAAACAAAAAGATAAGACATAAAATGTGGTGATGCTAACACAAAATTAACTATACATATTTTCATAAATAATAAGATCTTGAAAAAGTAGACATGTATGGAAGTACCTACCAGGCATATCAATATCATAAAGCAAATGTAAATATAAATAAGTGTGATTAACTAGTTTTAGTAAAATTGAAACTAAAGTTTATCTTCATTATAAAAATATAATACATGTAACCCAATATGTACTTTATCTTTCCTCACAGCTAATTGATAAATTTCTATCTTGTATTTCATCTTAGAAGAAATAGTTTCTTCTGAAAGCACACAAATCACATCAGCCTCTCTTAACAACTTTGGGCTTTTTGCCAGCAGTAATCCTTCTCCTTAGTTGTTTTCAGTCTGTTTCCCTTTTTGTAATATCTACCCCATTCAGAACTGAAGTACTACCTTATACAGCTGTCTAATAAAATGTTAAAAGTTCATGGAAATAATGTAGGAAAAACCTTTCAATATCATATGAAACAAAAATAGAACACCATATACTATGTAATACTGATACTAAATGGGTTTAAAGATATATATTTGTATAACTAACACAATTTAGAAATCTATGAAAAATACAGAGCTTAATGTTCATATAAATTTATACTATATTAATGCTGATACACGTAACAAAAGTCTTTTAAATCAATTAAATATTTAGAAGTGAAATGAGAACAAACACCATTGAAAGTTATCATTTGTGGCTAAGATTCTGGGTAAATTACTTAATGACATGACTATAAATTATTTTAATTGCTAATTCTGTCAAATAACCCAATAAAACTTAGAGGACTTAGTGATTTTTGCTAAAGTTTAGACACTTTAAAGTTACGGTCAAAATTTATCTTGAGTAATAAGAAAATTTACAATATATTTATATTTAATAAAATACTTAATTTATACAGAAAAATACATATAAACTTTTTTGTTTCCTTCTTACCTATTTCATCTTTCCTCATGTCTTTTAGTTTATCCACAGTAAGGTTTTTCTCTTCTAATCTTGTTAGAATGTGTGGTGGTAACACTGAAAATTGTCTCAAAGGGCTAGCCCACCCCCAGAGCCTCTTGTCAATGACTTTGCTCAGATTCAGGAGCCTGTAGGTCATAGTTGGCCAACGTTTCCTTAGAGCAATCTCAAAAAGAGCACGGACAATTCTAGCTGCATTCTGAAGAACAAATGAGGCAGACTGGTGGTTAGAGTCAATGTGGTTTTAAATTTGTCAATAAATTTATTACTCTAACTCAGTCTCAAAAGAAGGGCAAGTCACCTGAATCTTTGAATTGTGGGACAACATCTTTTCTAATAGGAATGTAACTTTAGTATTCACTCAAAAGAGTAATCAGAACCTTTTTATGCATATATCATTTTCCAAAGTTCTTAAGAAACTCTATGCTTACACCAGCTAAACAGAAGTGGAGCATGAAAAGACAGAAGGTACCAGCAGGAGGCTGTTCATGCATTCAAAATACAAAAGGAGAAGGTGCTTCTAAGTATGTGAAACTATTAAATTTGTAAGGCTGTTCTGACCAAAAGTAAGGAAGACTTTGAGAATTAGAAAGGATGAGCAAGAGAAGGGTGACAGTAAGTATCCATGAGCACAGCTACTCATGTCAATACCTGCCCATAAAACAAGAAACATAACAAGTACTACACATATTATCTCATTTAATCTTTACAACAACTACATTTCATTGGTATTGATATTGTGATTTCACAGTGAAACTAAAGCTTGAGATATTAAATTTTTGACCATGGTAATAGAGATAGTTGGCATCAGAACATTTATTCAGTTCCACAGCTAAATGATTCTAACTTCATTTTAAGACACTGAACTCAATGGTCTGAAGACAGCTTCATTAATATATATATGTAGTTAAACTGAATGGATGTTTTAAAAATGTATCTCTATAGCTAATTTCCAATTTTCTTGCATCCTTTCTTTTATCATTAACCAAAGATTGTTATTGATGATGTTATTTTACCATTATGAATTTTAGAGACATCACTGAATACCTATAGATATTTATATTTGGAAGTAATATTAGTCTGACAATGTTACAGGACATGATAAATAGTAAAATTCCAAACAGTAGAGGCGATCTAGCATAAAATTACAAGGTAAAATGTGAGATAAGAATTAAAATCTTTGCTTTACATTTTATAGAAATTGTGTATTTTTCTTTTCCTGACAAATTTGAACTTTTATTTTTGATATCTTTAGAAGCTTAAAAACAAAAATAGTAGGTAGAAGTCCAAGGACAGTTCTTATGCTCATTAAGAACCACATATGTAAGTCTTATGAAGTCCCACCTCATACATAAAATGAGTATTTTCATTATTATAACTATCAGGCAGAATTTCCTGATATGGTTTGTTCTTGTAAAAACTGTTAAGGTAAATTTATCCAATTATATTTGAAAGTATGATATATTTTGTATTTTAGAAACTATAATTGTTCTCTAAAAGCTAAAAAAGTAGAAAGAGAAATCCCCTATAACCAGACACAAACAGGATATTTTAATTGGTAATGATAAAGTGGATGGGAATGATGACAGATTGAGAAAGAAAGACTGAAATACATAAACTTTTAGAGAGCCTAAACCCTGAAGATCTTAGTGGAGGTGAGGTAAGAATTTAACTTAGATACTAAGACAAATTCAGGACATACAAAAGGATGTGAAAGAGTTCTTATGGAATTAAGACAATGTTACAAGATATTTTAAACTTAAAGCAATAACTGAGTTATTATATCTAATATGTTCAAAGATGAAAAGTCTATAATAGCTGTCTAAGAAAAATCAGGAGGTTCTGAGATACGTTTTTAATCTAAATTAACTTTTTGGATACTGATCATGATGGAAACCTAGAAGATTCATATTGCAAGGCAATTCTCATGTCATCTCTACTATCATCTTGACAATCTCCAATCAAGTAGAAATGTTGCTATCCTATCCAGGATGATTAAAATGTATCTTTTATTTAAAGAATCAATTATTTCAATATAATCATTAGAAAGTGTAAAATACAATACTGAATTACTTCTTAGAAGAAAAAAAACTAAACAAAGGAAAGAAACAATGACTTCTGGCAATACATGTTTTCACAACATCCATATTCTCTTTATATAATTTGTGAAATTATCATTTGGTTTCTTGGTTGCACTGATTGAACTACTGCAGGCATAGAAACTGTTTAGCTATATCTCAATTCATGATTGTAACTATTTTATGTCCTCAGCTATTTCTAAGCATTGCCAAGTATTCCTGGACATTAACAACAATTTAATTAACTCAAACACACTTTTCTTATATTAATGCTTTGAAAAAAGGTACAAATACAATGCAACAGCAGAATAGTTACATATTTTAAATAAGATTAATTTTAATTTCTCCATTTAGTGGAGGCATTTACTCCATAAAAAAACAAAATGCTTGAAATATACGTTTAAGAGATGTGTACTTCAAATTGAAGCCTTTAATTTGAAAGATAAATATAATAAAACATGCTATGACATTTATATCTATGACATATAAGATATAAAAACATAAATATACTAACATTTCATACCATAGCATTTTTAAAAATTTAGAAACTAAATGATGTGTAGTTTTGGGGAATAATTTCTTTCAATCTTTGATTTTTAAGTATCAACAATATAGATTACTTAAAAAAAACCAGAAACCTAGCATATTGATGTATACCATGAGGTATATTAAATTTTATTTAAAGAAAAATTTGTCACAGGGCAAACCAGCCACGAAATTTCACTGCAGTCCTGATTTATGAGCACAGACTATATAGAAATTAAAAGAACCAGTTTCTAAAATAAAATGGTAGTTTGATTCATTGTACATTCACAGTATAACACAGATTAATTCCTAAAGATAGGCACAGAGAAGAAAAATGGGAAAGGTGGAAGACTCTTACCTGTGCAACATAGGCAGAATCTGATATAAGGGAGAAACTGTCCATCTCTCCTCGGCTGATGTAAGTTTGAAGTAAGATGTTTATTTTCCCATAACTATTTTCTACACCTCCAGGAGCTGACAGTTCACAGAAATTGTTTAATAAGGCATCTAATTCTTCTATTTCCTCTTCTCTGACCTAGAAGTTTTAATAGTAATACCTAGGCTGTTTTATTAAAAATTTTTATGCTGATATATCTTGTTCTCTGAGTAAAGATAACAATACACAATTTATTAACCATTGGTAACCTGTTATTATCTTGCTTTGAAAATATGACTTTTTTCCTCTTTAAAATAAAAAAAGTTCATTTATATTGCAAGGCAAGACAAGTATATTGCAAGTACAGTGCATGTTTTAAAAACTTTCCATTTAGTACAACACACTTTATTTTCACACCTAAAATAATTTTTCCACAGCTAGTTATAACATACAATATGAAATGATCTTAAGTTTAATAGAATTACATTTTATTACTCATGACTAACATTAAAGTTGCCATTGACATATAAAATTTTGATATGCCATAAAAATTAAGCCATCTAACCTCACCATCCTTCAACTGATGAGATTTCATTTTTATTTGACCAGAATACAACCTCTGCCCAACTGGATTAGGGCAAACTTGATTATCTTCAAATGTGTTCATTACTATTATATATTTTTATATGGTATAATATATTCAGAGCTTAAAGTTGTAAAATACTGCTTCAAAGTTTAAAGTTTTCACTATTATTAAAATTAAATTACAATATAGGGCCAGATACAGTCATACCTAAGTCAGAATCACACATGCACTTTTTATTATCTTCAGTGAAATTTATATTAAAATAAAGCAAAATGTATATAATGTATTCTTCCATAGTTTCACTACAGTAAACTTATTTGAATTACTTAATTCGTACTATGAAGAATGTTAGCTATAATAAAATACAATAATTTAAGATGCTAGGTATTACTAATCAATGGAAGATCACTGTTTATGTATGAGAAATAACAATTATAAGCTTTTATAAATCAATAAATGTATCTGTGCTTTGATTCAAAGTTCAAGTCATCTTACCTTGATTTGATCAAATTCTTCAGCTTTGGAGACTATAGCAAAAATGTCTCCTTCTGTTTTGTGAGCATCAAAGAGTTCATTAAAAGTCTATCAAAGCAAGGGTTATATTTGATTAGAACTTAAAGTTTACAAAGATATTTCCACATATAAACATTACTATAAATCACACAGTCTTAAAGAACACTGAGTCCTAGACAATACAGAGATATGGCTGTGTCCTAGTATTCCAAGTCTTTGCTTTATAATAGTACCAAATTTATGAAAGACTGAAAAACAACCCTACAATATAATTAGCTGAGGAAGACTTAGAAGCAAAAACTCAACAACGTGTTAATGAAATCTATTTTAGATGCCTAAAAAATGACCTCCATACCATTCTTTTCTTTGTCTCAGGATGAGTGTATAGAAATAAATTACATTCACTTAACTGTAAGCTGATCGACTATCACATAAAATTCAGAGAAAAAGAAATGAGAAAATATGTAATTGGAAGATTCTCACAATATTAACAGTGAAAGCTCACCAAAAGTCAGGAAACTAGGATGAGGGGGAAATATCAGTCAAAACTAGGTAGACTAAGACAAAAGTAAAGCAAGGCTAGAGTTTTTGAAAAAGAACTTTACACTTAAGATATAATTTGGTGTTTATACACTAGCAAGCAGACAAGATTAAAACGTTGTATAATGGAGAGGTGAGTGAATGTGAGCAGGTGACAGAGAAGTGAAAGGCTAAGAGTTGGGCTGGGGAACCAGCACATCTCACCTGTGAGGGAGTATCTGTTAAAGGGCATTGTCTTTAATGTTACAGAGACACACAGTTCATTTTGGAAAGTGGAAGATCAAATAACCGTATGAAAATGTTACGTATAAGCAAATGTTAAGAGTACATAAATGGGCCAGAGAAATACCTTAGCAGCATAATCACCTGTCTGGCAAGCACCAGTACAAACAAACCGCAACAAAAGAGTACAAAACCTAGGTTTCATATAAACTAAGATTTTCATATTTCTAATGCAATCTCATTCAATGAGTTCTATTTTTGCATTCTAAAATAAAGTATAAAAGTAAAAATGAGTATAAGAAAAATTCAAAATATGTTACTATAAATAGATTAAATGAGAAAAATTCACCTTAACCTATCTTTTTCACTTCAAATTTAAGCCTTTGCCTTACAAAGAAAGTTAAATATTCTGTTAAATTTTCCTATACATTGACATATGTACACACACAAGAAGGCATGTATGTACTTTCTAAAATGAAAATAATAAAGTGACACCTTCACAAAGGACTGTACTAAAATAAAGAAGCCACAATGCAATTGTGTGGTCAAAATTAGCTTTGAAAATTCTGTAAATTGCCCATAGAGTATAGGAAAGTAGACCCAGAAATTTTATTAGATTTTTTTTTTTAGTCCACATTTCTTAATAATAATATAGTTAATTTTCTACTTTTTATTCAAGAACAATATTAAGTCATAGCTTTGCACTTAGGTATTCACCTCATTAGACTCAGAAATATGCTCCAACCATTTCAGGTATACTACTAGGGATGTATGTATGTATGTATTTTTAGGGATGTATTTATTAAGCAAGATGGCATGTGGACCTTTGCTACTTAAGGTCTTATTTTTATCTTACTTAATTGCAGGTATAGTGCCAAATTCATACACCTTAAACGTATTTTGATCTATTGGTTGCTTTTGTGTTTTGCATTATTAGTACGTATACTTTGAAGTCTAAAGAGAATCTGCATCTAAAAACAAATACACAGTTGCATTTGTTCCTCCATAATACCTCGATGGTGTTGTATTTAATATAGAAGTGGCTGGCCGTTCTACCCAAATCAGTTGAGGAAAAATATCCAGTTCTCTCTTCAAAACGAATCATCCGGGCTTTGTCAAGTTTCCTTCCAACTTCAATGACTAACTGTTCTCGATGTTTTCTTAGTGTTGGGTCAATCTTCAGAAAAGAAATACAAACACTTGAATTCTATAGACAGTTATCACTTGGAAACATAAAGCCATTTTTACAAATTTAAAACTTCTTAACATTTTATTTAACCATTTTTGTAGTTAATTTTTAATTAGTATATAAAAAGGTAAAAGTAATGGGGTAATGTGACAATACACGTATTAACATCATATTATGTTGAATCCATGTCTCTTCAAATATTTACTTCATATTTATGGTAAAAAAATTTATATCCTTTCTTGTAGCTCTTTAAAAAAATTTATAGTTCATTACTTGTACCTATAATCACACTATTGTGGAACAGTACAACAGAACTACTGGCTCCTAATTGTAATTTAGCACTCAGTAATCCACTTTGTTTTATCTCTCCTTCTCCTTTACTCTTTCCAGCTTTTAGTAAAATAAACTGCTATCAACTTTTATTTTTCTGTATTTTTTTTAGGGAAGGGTCTACAGGGTGTTCAGGGTCTTACTACTAGGTTGGACTGGTAGTGATTCTCCTGTTTACAGCCTCCCAAGTGCTGGGATCACAACGTGTGCCACCATGCCTAGTCTCAATTGCTGTCTGAGGGCGGCGCCCTGGTGGTGAGGCCTGCATGGCAGGCTTGGGGATTGAACCCCTGGCCCCTATCCCTGCTTGCAGGTGCTTTAATCTGCTGAGCTATTTGGCCAGCCCTTGCTATCAACTTCTGAGATCAGTTCTTTCAGATTCCACATATGAGATGATGTGGTCCATGCACTTTTGTGCCTGCCTTACTGTACTATGAAAATAATCTCCAATTTCCACCCTTCCTTTTACAAATGATAAAATGCCATTCTTTCTGATGGTTGAACAGTATTTTATTATGAATATAATATTTTCTTTGTCCAGCAGGTGATATACATTACTTAGACTGCTTTTACTTGTTGGCTGTTGTAAACAGAGTTGCAATAATCCTGGAATACAATGACTCTTTTACACACTGATTTCAATTCCTTTAGATATATACCAAGTAGTGAGAATGACGGATAATACATTTTTTAAATTAAAATTTTAAAGTGTGTTTATAAAATTAAGAGACAACTAGAGAAGTTTTATTCTATAAAGAAAGCTTCAAAATTTAATTAAAATTATAAGCTATAGGGCCGGCCAGATAGCTCAGCGGACAAAAGCCTGCTCAGGCAAAGTGCAGCAGCCAGTGTTTGATCCCCTGCGTGCTGTGGCAGCCACACCTCCGGGATGCTCTGAGACAGAGATTGAGACTAGGCATGGTGGTGTGCATCTATAATCCCAGCACTTGGGAGGCTGAAAACAGGACTATCAGTACGAGTTCGATCTATGTAGTGAGACCCTCTACATTTAAAAAAAATCAGTTATATTCTCTTTTGATACAAATATTCTTGAATCTAAAGTTATTATATGGTCCTTAGGTTTTATAAAGACTGGGAATCAGATATAGGAAAAAACACTATCTTTTCCTTTCCACAATAAAATAAATACTAAGTGAAAATTATCAAGCCATATTCCGATTCTATTAGTTAGTTGGTGCAAAAATGGCAAGAATGGCAATGTCAGAAATTTTTGACCTGAGTACCCTACAGCTCAACATAACAGCATGGCTTTACTTCTTATATTTCGTTTTCATACTTTTCTGCTGGATGGTTAAGACCAAGGTAAAGCAGGACCTGTGCAACAAGAGTTGTAGCTTTTGGGTCTGATAAGGTCAGTGAAATCCCCTCAGGATTTATCCTGAGATCCTGTACCTCAGATTGTAGAACCTTTGTCAGTGTCACCCATGTGGATGAGTCACGGCCATTGCTTGGCCAATGTGCTCTCTGTGAAAGCCTGAGAGAATGTTTTCTCTCAATGTGTCTCCTTAGGCACACTCTATGTCATCGATCACTTTCCTCTTTGGCCCCATAATCAACTTGATCAGAAAATTTGGGACACTACTGAGTTACATGACGTTACAGTTACAAGTTCTCATATGTCCTGAGTCTAACAATTTCTGACATTGCCAGTCAAGCGGAAGACCCAATACTATTATGGGCTACTGGACTCTAAGAATATTTTGCTGAGTTTACACACCTATAACATTCAAATAACAGAACTTAACAAAAAAAGGGTATACAGATGAATGTCTATTTTGTATCTCTGTGTTCAAAGTAGTTAGGATAGATATATAAGAGAGATATATTAAGAGTTACATTCTCTTAATGAATACAGTGATTTGTTCTAATGGTGTTTGTAAATAGGATATCATGTCTGCATCTTGTATAGCAATTAACCACTAGGAAGAATGTATGCAATGTGTTAATTATTGAAACTGTTCTACCAATTTGATTTGAAAAAAAAAATGTTACAAGGTCTGAATAGAAAACCCACTACTTATGAATTATTGAACTATATTGGGATATTTCATTGAATTCATGCACCTACAGTATTTAAATGATAATGGGATACCCTTCTCTAACAAAAACTAAACAAAAAAGGGGGATACAAATGAATGACCATTTTGTATCTGTATACTTCAAATAGTCAGGATAGATATACAGCTCCATTCTCTTAATTCAATTAATAGAGAGGTTTGTTCTAATAGTGTCTGAGACAGGATATCAGGTCTTCATCTTGTACAATTTAAGACAATATGCAATCTATTAACTGTTGACAATGTACTAGTAATCGGTTGTGAAACTGTCTCATTGCTATTTGTTTCTCAATAAAAATATTTTTAAAAAACCAACAAAAAAAATGGCAAGAATGGTTTCCCTAAAGTTAAGACATGTAAAAATAAATATTCAACTATCCTTTTAAAGATATAGTTCTGTTCTAGCAGTTTTCATAATTGCTGATAGTAAATCCATTTTGACTATCATAAAAATAAATGCAAAGATAAAATGAATTTCTGTACAGTAAAACCATTTATTAGTTTTTTTAAGTGAAATTATGGTATTTAACACAAAATGTTAACAACGAACATTCTTGTTTCTATGGTGTACATGCACACATGCATATGTGTACACAGGCCAAGTTGTGAAGAGTACTCTGGGGTCATGAGAAATAAGGCAAAATCCAGTGCTTACTGGGAACTGGGGAGAATATCAAAACGCTTTACAAATCTAAAGAGTTTATACCATTATCATTTGTGTTTACTTAGTTGTTCATGGTAGCTAAAGACAATGTTAAAAATCAGAAGCATGGAGTCTGGCATGGTAGTGCACACCTATAATTCTAGCATGCTCGGAGGATGGTAAATTCAAGTGAGCCAGTTCAGCTTAGCAAGACCCTGTCTCAAAACAAAAAACAAACCAAACCAAATACCATCAATGCACTTCAGCATGAATTTTAATTTAAATTTAACGATTTTGACAACTGAATATGCATATGTTAATGATGAGATGTTTTCATTAGACCACAACTAGATTTTATCTGCAATTAGAAAGCATTTAGAGTATAAAGCAGAATTCAAAGAAAACACATGATCTTAGAGAATCTGTAAGCCACATGGACCACACAATTATAAAGTTCATAGGAAAACCTATCACATGTAATTAATTCTCAATCAATACATACACACTGAATCATGAAACTTATCCCCTGCCTCCACACTGTTACTGCAGTAACTCACTACCATCTTTTCATTTTAGAAGAAATATAGAAAAGATTTGATAAGAACAGAGCATATTCTGCAGCTTTTCATTAAAAATAGTCTATTGCTTTTTCAGGGCTTCTTTTTTCTTTTGCAGTACCAGGGACTGAACTCAAAAACCTGTGCTTGCCAGGAAAGTGCAGACCTTATTTATTTCAAAACTAAATTTATTGTAGTTTTAAAAAAATTAGTGAATAATATAATCAATGGAAATATATGAAAAATATATTGACAATAATATCACAGCAGGCAAAGTTAATTTTCATTAGTGTTTTCTAAAGCAGATCAAATCTCTTTATTTTTCTCATATGTCCTGTTTCAGATGAAGCAAGTCTAGCAAATATTTATCCTCATATCATGAAAGTATTACTGAACTCAAAAAAAGGTTGCAGTTTTTTTAAAACATAAATGAGTTTTTTACCTGATAAGCTTTGTGACTGATGCCATAGACTAATGGATTTGCTCTCATCCGTACATAAAGATAAGTGTAACTTATCCACTTCACTGCTTCTTCCACATTAGTGACTGTTCCCAAAGCAATCTGCAAATAAAAAAATATAACAGAAATTAAAGTAATGTATTTAGGTCAAGCATAAACATTACAGCAAAGACCATTCTGTCAGGCGCTATGTTTTTGCAATTAATCATTGTGCTGCATTTAAAAGATGGAAAGCACAAACTCCTCCAATAAATTAAAACTCAGTCCTGCTTCATTAAATTGGTAGTAGTAAATTAGAAATCTTCCAAAATTGAACTTACTCAATATTGTAGCATTTGATTAATTTTCCCTATATAGAGTTGAACTCAGCAAAGTATTAAGGGCATTTTTGGCAGTTGCTGTTTTTTTTTTCTTTTTTTTTTTAATTCACACTTGATTTTAGCTAAAAGGCTGAGAACCTTTTTTTTTTTTATTTGCTACCCATTTCATTTTACTTTAATTTTAAGTGATTATACTGTGAAATAAATTTAAAAATAAATGTACTGAGACAAAGTTGATTCTGGCTTTTAGATTTCAACTACTTTTGTCAACTGCTTTTTAAAAAAGTGACTGAGTTATCCACAATATATGTAAATACACACATCTTCTAAAATGTGAGTTATAAGGCTTTTCACTAGTACAGTAGCAGGAAGTAAAATTTAGTAGTGAGTTATGTAACAATTTCTAAGGCTTTACCAATAGGACAGTCAAACATTTTCTAGTTTTAGGTAAGTAGATCTACTTTGATGACATGACTAAAATTTAAGCCTTTACTATATTTGTTTTCCAGTTTAACTGACAGTCAAAATTGTGTTTATTCATATGATGGTCCCTTATAATCTTACATTACTTATGTTCCCTTTTAACCTGATATTATTTTTTGTATTTTTGAAACATAGTCTTGCTATGAAGTTCAAGCTGGTCTTGAACTCATATTGTAGCCCAGGCTGGTCTCCAACTTGCGATGACCTTCCTCTCTCAGCCTGACAAGTGCTGGGATTACAGGTGTGTGCCACCACACCTAGCTGATATTATTTTAAAATACTATATAACTTCTAAGTATAATTTTTTTAAAAAATGTATTTGGTTGTTACAGGGTCTCACTGTGCAGTTCAAACTCATAGTGATCCTCCTGTTTTCGGCCTCTCTGGCGCAGTGATTACAGGTGTGCGCCACCATGCCTAGACTCCATGGCCCACTCAGTGCACCTGGGGGCGGGGCTGGTGTAGCATGTGGTGATGGGGATGGAACCGTGGTCTTTTTGCTTGCCTAAGCCTGCCTAAGCAGGCACTTTAGTCTGCTGAGCTATTTCAGATAGGCCCCTAATTATAAAAATTTTTATAAAATTGTAGAAAAAGACAAAGTAAGCTTTGTATAATTTTAAAAACCAGACCTAGTAAAGTAACATTAATAATTACTCTTTGCTACTAATAAGATTAAAGATGGAAGTAGATAACTAACATTGAATCAAGTAATCCAAGTCTTCTAATCATTTGCCAAAAGTAAAGCGAGTCTCTAGGAAAATAAATGTAAATTTATGATTGTACATCTTATTTTGAGATTAATCCTTGAATGCCACCTAGTGACGAAAATAAAAACTTTCTAGTAATAATTTGCTGTCACCTAGAGGCTACTTAACACAGGGGTCTTTCAAAAAACACCTTTTTCCTGGTATCTCTTTGAAATTTGTTCATTTTTCTCTATAATCATATAGTGAATCATTAACAAGCCTGTACACTTTCTAAATCCATAGGCCAGGTAACAAAACAGCTAATGGTCCCCGGCTTCAAGAAACTCCCTCATTATGAAGGGGGTACATATGTAATTGTGATTGCCATATCAACCCAACATTCACAGTGTCTAACCGACCAATATAGCACCTCCTCAAGAGGGTTTTAAAGAAAATATATGACACGTGAAATACAAAAATGGCACTAGCGTATAGTGTAATAGAGATTTATGTTCCATTAGGAAGATAAATCTATTCCAACTTGGTAATACAGAAACGAGACTCAAGTATATATGATTTCATATCTAATGTATTTTACACTTCAGTCTTTATAGCTATCTTTTCACTTATATGTGCTTTCACAAACTGAAATCATACAAGCAAGCAAATATAATTATGAGCACGTACAACAGACAAATGTATATGTATATGTATATGTATATAAATTACATACTTAAGTATGTATATACATAAAATGTTACTTTTGTTCATTCAACTAAAATTTCAAAGCTGGCAGGAATAAATGGGGCTGAATAGCAAGAAATTATCAGAAAAAGTAACATGATCATTCACTACACACAAACTTGGCAAGAGGAATTTATGACATTTCTACAACAAATAGGATGTGACAGGTAAGATGAACAGAATAACAACTTTCTCGGACAGAAGACCAGAGACAGAATTGGCAATGATGGTCAGATGCTAGAAGCTTTACATCTAAGAACAAGTATTTGTATAACAAATAGCTTATGGGAACTCGGTGAAAAAGAATGTATGTTAGGATATAAAAAAATTAATGTAGTCATACAGAATGGACCAAAGGAGAATGAAACAGAGTACAGAACCACCTGCACTTGATCAATAGATTTTAATAAGCCTCAAATGTCTCACTATCCTCTCATTACAAAACTGAGATGCTTTATATAGGAAAGGGATTTATAATATTTCAGTATTAGGATTATGGAGTCGGCCCACTGGGATCATTGAGCAATGTGCTTTATAAAATACTGCATTAAAATTATGATTAATATAATTTCTCCCCACTTTTAAATTAATGATAAAATTTTTATTCATAAAGTCAAAAGAATTAATACAAGTAATATTCCTAACTTAACATTACTGCTGTTATACAGTGTTGTAAAGATTTTGGGAGTCTTCTGACTTAAAACTCTGTAACCCTAAGAACACAGTACAAGTTCACAGAATAAACTAATTTCACAGTTGACTTCTATCAATTACTATATTTAATTTCACATTCAACTGTAATTTCAGGGAGTCTGTTTCATTAATAGGAAAACTTACTTTAATAGGGAGCTATGCCAGGAGACCAAGAGATGAAGAAGTTTAGCAATGGGTGTACTTCACTACATTAGCAAAAAAGTTTAAGATGTATGTTTCATTATTTAAATGCCCTTTATATCACTAAATTAAATTAGGCTTATAGTTATTTGACGTTTCTCAGAATTATATATCTAATTAAGTACTTTATGCATATGATATGAACTTATGGGTCATCATTTATTTTTCTTCTCAAGGCTTTATCAAATGTTTTCACTGATGCTGTTTTATTTTCCCTAAGAGTTCCTTCAGAATAAGAACAGCTTTTTTACTTTTTATATATTCTGCATTACAACATTACCCTCTTGGGTTCACTTCAGCACTGACAAAAAGCTTTTAAGGACATTAGATTTACAAGAATTAGTTTTCCTGACATGCTTTAAAAAGAAACACTATACAAAAAGAGACTTGCTTTTAACTGTAAGAGTCCCCAAAACATAATTATTTAAGCCACTCAATCATAATAGACAACAATGACTGAAACGGAGCAATAATAATATTCTTTGGAGTCAAAATTTATTTCAAATCATTTTTATTGTCCTGTGATTTTGTACTTAGAAGCCAGTGACTTTCATAACTTCTTTCAACTTCCAAACATTATCTTTCTTTTTTCTTTTTCGGTACTGGGGATTGAACTCAGGACCTTGTGCTTGCCAGGTAGGCACTTAAGCTGTTGAGCTATCTCCCTAGCCCTCAAAAATTATCTTTCAAAGCTTACCTATGCTTCCAAAAGTTTTACTACCTTCATGCAAAATATGTTTCCTGATATCATGGAGTAAAATGTATTTTCTTTTTCTGTTGAATGCTTCTACAGAACTTGATCTACTTAACATTATTTGACATTTTCATATTTGTTCCTCTCTTCTTGGGCTTTACGCTTCTTAACAGAGTAAATTGCATAGTGAGTTTTTCATTTTTAAAAAATTTTTTAATGTATTTAGTACAGGGTCTACAAGGTCTCATTACACAGATTGGACTTGTAGTGATCCTCCTGTTTTTAGCCTCCCAAGTACTGGGATTATAGGCACATGCCACCACACCCAGTCTCAATCTCTGTCTTAGTGTGCCCTGGAGGCAAGGCACACCAAAGATCAAACTTCCATCCCTGTGTCTGTATAAGCAGGTGCTTTTATCTGCTGAGCTATCTGGCCAGCCTGAGTTTTTCATTTTTAAGCAGATTCATAAATAATAGAATATAAGCAAAATCTATTTATGCTAACAGGGCTAGCAAACCATAAGTACTATTTGACTGTATATGAATCCTTTATTTCATATTTATATCCTATCTACTTTCAAAAATTATTACAATCAGGCCCACTCAAATAGCTTAGTGGATTAAAGTGCCTGCTTAGGTAGACACAGGAGTCAGAGGTTCGATTCCTGGCTTGCTGTCCTGGCCCCAGCCCCAGGGTATGCTGAGACAGGGCATGGTGGCACGTGTCTGTAATCCCAGCTCTTGGAAGGCTGAACACAGGCAAATCACTATGAGTCCAATCTACGTAGTGAGACCTTGTAGACCCTTTCTAAAATACAAAATAAATAAATTTTAAAAAATATTATAATCAAATTTAAAAGAAAGGATAGCTAAATAGGAGAGTATACTATCAGAGCAATAGAGTAAGTCCCCTACTTAGGATGAATGAATTCCTTTTGGGAGAACATTCATGAGTTAGATTCCTTACATCCAACAAAGTGAGAGTCATACATCTCTGACATCAACATACAAGGTAAGTTGCTCTGCACTTCCTAGAAGTCCCCTGCACATTATGTCTGCTTTTCCTTTTGTGTCTGGAGATCCTAGGCTCTGATTGAGCACACAGTAAACACTCAGCAGCACAACTGTGAATGTCCAGCAGATACGTGAAATATTTTAGAAACGTGTTTGAATCTATGAATGTTTGCAGTGCGAGGTCTGTTACTATCTGCAAAAGTTCCAAACACAAATGTGTGCAAGTCAGGGCCTTTCTGTAATTAAAAATATGAAAATGATGAATAAGTAAAACTACCTTTGCATGTCTGACATATATACTCTAATTGTAAGAATTATTATTTTCTTTGCTTATTAAATTAATACTTACACTTCCGAGGTCTGTAAACTCATAAACATACAGATACACAAAATAAGTTATCATACTCCAGCTCAGTCTAAACAATCACAACTTATGTAATAGTTAATAACATAATATAGGAGCTTTGTACTGTATAGAAACTTTATTGAAAACATTAAGAGCTCTAAATCAATGTGAAATAAAAACAGTTGTTACTATTTCAGTTTCCCTGGTTTATATAATTTTGGGTTGATGTTTTAGTCTTTAACAACTAAACTTTGTAGATGGGAAGTAGTCATTTACAAAGCATGGTCAGTCTTGTTATCTATACTGCACTTCTGTAAATACATCAACAATATTGCCATGTAGCCTGTCAACTCTATGGCATAAGCAAGCTATATTCATAAATCCTACATAACAGCAACTAACTCAACCCTTATTTCAGTATATTCTGGAAGCTAATAACCATTTCAAGCTTTTACTCCACAGATCTTACCTCTGCATTTAGGTTATCTGCAAGGCTTTCCAGAAACTGACTCTCAATTGGGTTTTGCTGAGTAAGCAAGGTGAGGTAATGACTCAGTTTATCATGTGTTGTTATAATGATTCCTTCCCCAAACTTGTCAAATTGTGGTCGTCCGGCTCGGCCAAATATCTGCATGACATCTAAAATTCCAAGGTCAACAAAGGAGCCTCTTTTTGCAGCATATATTTGTGTTCCCTAGATGAGAAAAAGTTAATAAAAATTTACATAAACACACAGAAATATAATCCTGGAGAGCTGAATACTGAAATTGGGCAAATATGGCAAGCTCTCAAAAGTGTACTTTAACTAATCCCTTCATCATCTGTGATAGAGTTAAATTTTCACAAGATAAACTAGATTCTTATTGAAGAAAATAATTCTGACCTTATATAAATAATATTCAAAGTCAATGAAACACACAAATCACAATATTTTCGTAAATAAATCAATCCAAAGGTTTATTTTAAGATACACACAAATCCATGTGCAAAGGAAGGTAAGCTCCTACCTTAATAATAACAGCATGAGCAGGAAGATTGACACCCCAGGCTAAAGTTGCTGTGCAGACCAGCACTTTGATGTGTCCATTGGAAAACAAATTTTCAACCAAATTTCTGTCCTGCCGAAGCATTCCTGCATGATGAATGCTAAAGCCATCTGGGAATAATTCACGAACTTGCTTATTTCTTGATTTTTGAACCTACAGGAGACATCAACAAAGTATAAAACAGAATTACTTAACATGAAAAGCAACTGGTATTTATGGTATTTGTTCAATGAGTTTATCAAAGAAAATACAAAATTTTTTAAGTATTGTACATTGTAACTACCTGCTACAGTTTGTGTCTAATTGTTCCCCTAAAGCCTCGCACAGTCATGGGGCAGGCTCCTAGAGTTTGTGATTAGCTCATGATCCAAAGCTGGGATTATGGATGACTGCTATACCCACAGACAGCCTGAATGCAATGAGGAAGGGAGAGAGGCTTGCATCTGCTTCTGCCACTGCTGTTCCTCCAATTCTGCTCTTGCTGTTTTACTGTTTTCTGCAGCCAAGAAGTGCTGCCCTCTACCATGTGCCACTCTGCCTTGGAGCCAGCTGAGTATGGCCTGAAACTTCCACAAGCTGTGAACTAAATAAATCTTTTCTTCCTTAATTTTGGGTGTTGGGTATTTTGTTCCAGCAACAAATCAAAAGTAACTGAGACACTACCTTTTACTATATAATGATTTAAGAAAAATCTTTTAATTTCCCATTATCTCTCTTAAAATAAGGTAATACTGGAACATGAAACAAAATTCAAAAGGAATGAAGTAAAAAGCAAGTTTTTTTTTATCCTTTGTCCCTACTTACATTAGCTGTTTCATATCCTTCCAAAGATACTCTGCAGCAACTAAGTTTAAGTCTTTACTCCAATTCGGGTTTTTTTATTTTTTTATTTTTTTATTTTTTATACTCCAATTCCTTAAAAGTAAAGGCAAAAAGTTGTTTTCTTTTTTAAACCAGGGACTGAACTCAGGACCTTGCACTTGCCAGGCAGGTGCTTAAGCTGGTGAGCTATGTTCCAAGCCTGGCAAGAGTTCTTATAATGCAAGGCTTACAAAATACTAAAAATAACAAACATCAATCTCATTCCCTAACCTCATTTATACCAGCCATAGTGGCAGCTTATGGTTCAAGTCTATTTTCTTAAAAATCCTTAACGGACTTCAGGGTTCTACACTTTCTAGCCAGGTGTGGTGGCAGACCCCTATAATCGTAGCACTCTGGAGGCTGAGCCAGAGGCACTTCTATGAGTTTGAGGCCAGCTTAGGCTCTATATTGAGTTGAAAACCAGCACAGACTACACAGAGAGACTATGTCTCAAACAAATGAACAAACGAACAAATGAATGCTTTCCATTCCAGCCCCACGTCTGCATGACTGCCCCCATTCCAAGATGCTCCATGGGTCCTGACAGTGTTCTTCACTGTTCTCAGTCTATGACCTACCACTGTCACATACAGTTATGCTCATGGGGCTCTATGATGGTAAAGCATTAACTTGTCGTTCCAGCTCCTAAATTTGTAACTAACCTGAATGCACTGACTTTACTCACAGTGTTTATTCTTGCCTGGGTAGAGCCTGTTTTCTTTTTTTTTTACATTTATGTATTTGGTACAGGGTCCCGCTATGCAGCTCAGACTCATAGTGATCCTCCTGTTTCCAGTCTCCACAGCACTGGGATTACAGGTGTGCATCACCACACCCAATCTCGATGGCAGTTTCAGTGCACCTGGTGGCAGGGCCAGGGCAGTGCAGCATGCAGTACCAGGGATCGAACCCTGGTCCCTATGCTTGTCTAAGCAGGCTCTTAGTCCACTGCGTTATCTTTCCAGCTCTATGCCTGGGTGGATCTGAAGTGCAGGACTTAGTCCATTTATTAGTAATCTGTATTAGTACCATAGTATAATACTATTAAATAAGGAAAACTATTTTTACAAAATTAAAGACCTTAGACTAATGTTTTAAGGTGTTCATAAGGCCAAAACTTCTGTCATACTATCATTGACTATTTCTCATTGTAAAAAAAAATCTCACTACTGACAATTTAGAGCTTGTTTTTCAACATTTCATCCCCTTGGTTGAAAGTAACACTGGCAGAGGATTTCAGGAGACTGGAATTCTACTCCAGACTTTGGCACATTGATGACCTCTAAGGTCATTTACAATTTTGAAATGCTAAGTCAATAATAATTAACTGAAAATTGAATTCCATGAAATCAGTTTCAATTGTAAAACTGAAAGTCATTTATTAGCAAACCGCACCACCTAGTGGCAAGCCAAGTAAATAACAAGTTACTCATTTTTGAATCTCTGCGTCTAAAGCAAAATACAGGTATGTTTACTTAACAAGATTATCTTTCCTCCAGTTTCATGGAGGATATATTCATATTTCTTCTTGTGCAGTACAGTCATCTCGTAAAAGTAATATAATATTCTTTGTGATTACACTGGAATCATATGGTTATCTTTTTAGACATGAGATACTATTAACTTTTTTAAAGCAGCTCTTATAAATATGGAAAGACTGAGACAAACACTGTTACACAGAATTTATTTAGATATAAAAGAGATCCTCCAGAGGCGAGGGGTACAGAAACAAGACACTTCACCTATTCCACTTCTTCTCCCCTATTTAAGAGCAGACATTCAGAACAAACAGGAAATTAAAACTGTTATCTGGAGATATTCTGTACAATTTATATGGCCACATCGCTGTTGCTTCAGATGAACCTGGCTCTCTGTAGACCTTGGGCAATGGAAAAGCCTGATGTGCTTGTTACACATGTAGATGCCTTGTACAAACCCCAGCTGACGCAGGATTTGGCTAACCATGCTGGGGCACCAATAACACAGGAAGAAAACACAGAAAGCATGTAACTATAGAAGAATTATCCCAGAAGGCATCAAGTAAATCTGGTGTAGGTATATAGCACAGGAACTTCTCCTCTGACAGGTGAATTCCACACTGAATCAACTGCAATGGCCACCAACTGGATTTGTCACTCTTGATATCAAGAAAAAAAAAAAGTCATGTCTTTTATCTCTGTTCTAATACTATGCACTGTTTTTCAATTGGTTCAAAAGAGACTTGATGTGGCAATAATTTTAAAATACATCTGGGTTGTTTATTCTTCACTGTCTTCAAATCTTAATGTTCAAGGATGTGGACTCATCTACTTCACAGTATAAATAAACTGGAATCTTTAGGGATGAGTCCAAGGGATATACACTTCAAAAAAAAAAATCTTATGTTAATCATTATGACAGAATAAAATTGCCCATTTTCTCACTTTTGGTGTACAGTTCTATATATTTTAACATATATATTAATTGGTACAATTACTACCAATTATTAAAGTACAAATCAGTTCCTTTACAAATATTTTTTGTTCATTTACACTCCCTTGTGCTATTTCTTTATAGCTAAAGGTTCTCTACTGATAAACCCTGGCAACTACTGTTGGGTCTTCATCGCTGTATTGTCACTTCAAAAATGTTACATAAATTTAATCAAAAGTATATAAATCCTTCAGACTTACAGTAATATTTTCTTCATTTGTAAAATTTGACTTAATAGATCTTATGCCAAACAATCCCAAATTCATTATTGTATTAAGTTATTTACATTCATAAATGGTGTCTCCTAACAAACGTATAAATGTGTATTAACTAAGAAAAAATGTACTATAAAGAATCAAAGACAAGGTCACTTAAATAAGAAACAGGTAGCAACTATATGCTAACTCCTGGAAATAAAAATAAGGCAAAATCTGAGCACCGGATGATTTGCAGATGGAATAATATACAAATACTTCGTTAACGTATGACCAAATGAAATTCATGACCTATATACTTTCCATCAAAACTAGTGCCTCTCTATTGTTATTTTTCTTTCATAACCCAAACACCCACTTGCATATAAGCCAGGCACCTTCGAAGGAGTCGAAAGCTCAGATTCTCTTCCTCAATCCTCCATATCACATCAACCCACCAAGCATTATTTTCCAAATATTTCCCAACAATAACTAGTCTATTTCTTCTGCCTGTATACTGATTTTAAAGTTATAAATGCTGAACATGTACTGCCTTTCTCTAAGTCCTCTAATTATTACTTATGTGATTTGAAAGTAAAATATGAAATTTATAACCTATATATAAGGTCCTCATGATCTACCTGTTGCCTACAACATTAGGCTCATGCCACAGTGGCTGAGTGCTAGTCTCAATCATTCTCTACAATTTATCCTTTTTATTTTCCCAATTTCTTTCAATGTGCTATTGTTTTTCTGACATGAAGACCTTTTTCACAAACACTTGTCTGACTTATTTGCTCTCACTAACCTTCAGATTTGAGCTTAAATATCACTTTGTTGGTGAATAAATATCATCTTCTAAAACCCTCACATTAAGCAACCAAATTTACTTTTTTAGCACTGCATTTCTCTTTATTATTTATTGTAAATACAATTCATTATTAAGTCAGATAATCTTGTTCTTCCAGAAAATATGTCCATAAGGGTGAAAGGGAACCTACTTTTCACCCTAAAAATATTTCCATTTGAAAATTTATCAGCACACAAAATCTACATAAGGAATTAAAACAAATCAGGCCCTCAAAATTCAAGTATCCAACCAAAACGTGGTCATGTGAGATGAACACACTGCTCAGATGAAACATAAATGGAAAATAAATATATGAAAAACATGCTCAAAATCATTGTTTGTTAGAGAAATACAAATTAAAACAACACTGAGATTCCAGTTCAGTCCAGAAAAAATGGCTGTCATCAAGAAGTCAACCAATAACAAATCCTGAAGGGGTTGTGAGGAAAAAGAAATCCTTCTTGACTGTTGGTGGGAGTGCAGTCTGGCACAACCACTGTGGAAAACAATGTGGAGATTCCTCAAAACACTAGGATTGGAGGTCCCATTCAACCTAGCTATTCTCCTCCTGGGTATTTTTCCAGAAGAACTGAAAACATCACACTACAGTGGTATATATGCACTCATGTCTATAGCAGTTCAATTTGTCAGAGCTAAATCTTGGAAACAATACAAATGCCCATCAACTGAGGAATGGATAAAAAAAGGTGTTATATTTTTACATAATGGAGTATTACTCAGCTATAAAGAAATATTAACTTGAAGCTTTATAG